GTCACTCACGTTACCTTCCTCATCCTGAAATTTATCATTCTGAGTTGAATTCCGAGGAAATAAGTGCCCTCACAGAGCCATTCTTAGGCATATAGGCAAACTAGGCAACCGCCTAGGGCCCCACTACCACCTGCATGTCCATATATTTCAGAAGTACACATGTTCTCTAGTGGCTTAATTATCAATATGGTTAGTGGTTACACGCGAACAAAGAGGAAAAATTGATGAAGGCAGAATGGAGGTGCCGCAGTGGTGGGTGGTGTTTTCTCCTCAGGCCAAGGGAGCACCACCCCCGGACCCCCCCCCTTTCCGGGGCCCCCAACCTACGCTCCATGCTTAGGGCCCCCAAACTCTTAAGAACGGCCCTGGTTTTAACCACATTATATTTTTAAATTCAAATCTAAACTACTGCAACAGCACAGCATTTTATAATGGCCTTTTTTTCAAAATAATACAGAAGTGTTTGTATATGTGTTTGTTATTTAATCTGTATGTTATATGATAAGCCCCCATGATTGCTAAGGCCTAGGCCATGGGCCTAGGTTGGCCCTATGGGAAATCCCGCTCATGTTATGCCAAGAAGTCTGGGTTTCTTGTGTCTTGATATGGCGAACACAAGACACATTTCCCAATAACTAACAGAGGGGAAAAAACACGTCACACGTCATTGTCGTAACGAGTTGTTACAAAAACTTCTCAAGTTGTAACATGGCTCAAGCTAAACACTTGTGAAACCACCTCATGATTAGATCACTGAGAAGTCGACAATACTGTCAATTTAATATCAACACGTGGCAGCATTCCACTCTCGGTTTCGGTACTACAAATCAGATGATGCGCACGATTACGTCATAAAGGCGGTTTCCCCGACAGTCTCAGCCTCGTTTTAAGGTTTGTTTAAACGGGACGATATCCGATTGGCCGAGGCAGGGGTTACGCTGTTTCGGGATGAAGCCATTTAAAAAAAAAATTTAACATAATAATTCCTAGTTCCTAGCTCGAAGAACGTTCTGATAAACATTATGTATAGTTAATATAATATATTAAAACATCTAGCCGACACCACCCTTCCCACACACAATACAAAAAGAATAACCAAGTAAAAAGCTCGGATGTGTTGTTTAATCAAGATACCAAAGAGCTACCTCAAAATTCGTAGCGTTCTGTTATATAATTTCTTTAAAAGATTTTTCCAAAACCATTACTAAAAATAGACATCACATGGTAGGTATTTAGGTCAAGGAATTCCTTAGTGCCGTGATCACTTTTTATTATGACGTGTTGTGGGAATTCACCGGAGATCTAGTTAATGTATTGGTGGTTGTTCACTCCCCCTCCCCCCCCCCACCCCGATCGAAGGTGTGCACAAAGTGGCGATCTTTTTTTGTACTGTTACTTAAAAATGTCAACAAACCAAAGAAACTGTGGTATTATTTATTATTTTATTTACTTCTAGGTTTACTCAATCTAAATCGGGGGTATAAGACACCAAGTCTTCGCCCGGTCTCCAAACATTTCAATAGCACTAACCATCATGGAATTTCAGACATCGCAGTTACTGGTGTACTGTATACTAATAATACAACGGATGGGATTTATATGGGAAATAAATTAATAACAAGATTTGTTACGTTGAATCTATACCGTGTAAACCAAATCCACAATTTTAAGCAGCTGCCATGTCTTTTTTTTTTTCTGTTTAGTTTTTTTATTTTACTTCAAATCCCTTTACGCTCTTGTTTACTTTGTGTTTGCCCGGGTTTTGCGCGCACTCCGATTCTTTGATATTTACACGTATTTAACTGTTTTGTTGTTTGCTGAAACGTCTACTTGTGTATTTTGTAAATTATTATTAAATAAAGCTGAACTTATGTTGTTTTATTGACACCAATTGTTCGTGGCTAATTAATTTTAATTATCAGTAGCAACATATCCTCTAAATAAATGGAAAAACAAAAAGCTGATTTTTTTTTCTTCTCGAAAATACAGTTCACGGTCGTGGTAAAAGGGTGATGGAATATTTGATTAGAATATGTTGAAATAAAGTTCATAGGGTTCGAAAATGGGGGCAAAATGTGGATCTAGGGTAGGATGATCAAATGTCCCGTAAAAACGGGATTATCCCGGAGTCCCGAAAAAAAAGTCTCTCCGGACGGAAAAAATGTCCTTTTTTCTATCGCCAAACACATTTTCACATATGAGATAAGAAGGAGGTTTTAACAATGGCTGGGACGACAGCCGAATAGCCTCAATTTAAATCCTAGACTAGAGACATTTAATTTGTTGTATTGTATTATGTTGTAAAATATGTCTACACAAATAAGTATTTACTGCAGAATTATTGTTTTCGTTTATGATATGCCTCAGAGTTAAAATTAAATTACAAAGGCGAAGGTAAATTTTAAAAGATTTCTAGGTCTCCAAATAGTTAAAATGAGCATATTTCAATTCAATAAACAGTTTCCTACGGAGGCCCCCGGGCCCCGGACCCCTCTTTAGCTGGAGGATATCCCCCCCCCCCCAAACCCTCCTTGGGGGTGTCCCGTTTTTTCCAGTTCATAATCTAGGGGGCAAAGAGAATTTAAAAAAAAAATAATGTTTATAACCAGCAGTGCACAATCTGGTTTATTATAATTTTAAGGGTTGATCCACGACGTTAGATAAAAAAAAAAAAAAAAAACGGGACCAGTGGAGTACCTAAGGGAGGCGGAAGATGGGGGTCGACCGAACCCGCTGGCACTTTTGATAATTTTAAGGGTTGAACCACGACGTTAAAAAAAAAAAAAAAAAAAAAACGGGACCAGTGGAGTACCTAAGGGAGGCGGAAGATGGGGGTCGACCGAACCCGCTGGCACTTTTGTAAATGTTAATTACTAACAATTAGTTAAAGGTGTGTGTGTGGGCCGGAGATCAAACCGTGCGAGATTTAGTAAAGACGTGCCACAGGTATGTTTGTTTGATGCACTGTTATGTTTGTTCGGTGCACTGGTATGTTTGTCTGGTGCACTGGTATGTTTGTTTGGTGCACTGGTATGTTTTGTTCAGTACAATGATGTTATGTTTGTTTGGTGAACTGGTATGTTTGTTTGTTGCGCTGGTATGTTTGTTTGGTGCGCCGGTATGTTTGTTTGGTGCACTGTTATGTTTTTTGATGCACTGGTATGTTTGATAAGGATTTATTCTGTATTCTCAGAAGAGTGTGCATAAAGAAGAAACATATTGAATTTTTTAAAACAAAAGATTCACTGTTTAATGCAATCATAATCTTTTAATATACTTTTAAATACGTAAAGTGGCAGTTTTTTTCTCTTTTTCTTCTTCATTAATATCTTTAAGACCCTCAATCAATTTATTAATCATTCTGGCTCATATGTATGTAGAGGTTGTTCTCAATGTTTCTGTGCCTTGTTTTGAAGAGAATCTTTCACTGGCTGCAAGGGCTACTCAGTGAGGTTATCATGCACGGGGGGTTGGAAGGCCTGAGACAATGGACGCAAATGTGTCAAGGGTCGTCGCCTCCACTGTTCCGTGTGGAAGGTTGTTCCAGTCCCTGATAGTCTTTGGCAGGAATGAGCAGTTCCTGTACTGTGCTGTTGCTGTTATGAGACGGAACTGCCTATGTCAATACTTTAATAAACTAAAGTTCATCTCTTGGTATTGGGGAGGGGGGGGGCGTGGCAGTTGGACACTAGATCAAAATTATCACATAGTTGAAGGGCGTCCACGAATTATAAGGGGCGTTCTATTCCTAGGTGGCTTGCCGTCTCGGGGGGTTTCTTTTATTCATTTTTATTGCCAACTTTATCAAATAAGGGAAAGGGAATCGCAAGGTTGAGATTAAGCCCCCAACAGCATTTAGTCCATACAGAGGCGTAACGAGGGGAGGGCAGGTGGGGGACAGATGTCCCCAGGCGCAAGCTAATTAGGGGCGCCAAAATGTGCTTTGATATTATATTATTGGTAAAAATAATGGGTTTGAGAGTTGAAAAAAAAGAAAAGGGGGCGCTTTAAAATGGATCTTGTCCCCGGGCGCCAAACACCCTCGCTACGCCTCTGAGTCCATAGACAGTGAACCATGAACATGCACCAAGAGTTATATTCATTGATAAATACATTGTAATTTTTTAATAAATAATGATATAATTATTTTGTTTAAACCGCCCAAGTAGGATTTTAATTCTTCACACTTGTATATTTCTTGTATACCATGCATGTACTATGTGCAGGTGAACATCTCAAGCGGTCTGAATGACTGTTTGTATGGGGTACGTTCTATATGGCCCAATGGATTTTTTTGATCAAATATCGCTTACATATTTGCAACATCTTGGACATTGGTCAATACCATTTTTTTTTTAAAAAAAGACATTTTTATATAAGTTCGATTGATCTTTAAAATATTTTACTGGACCCAGCTTGAATATTAATGGACAAGGGCTGGACCACAAATTCAATTTTAAAAGTATTATTACTAGCCTTTTTTTAAAGAATAAAATTTTATCTTTTTAATGGTACTTTAGAGAAGTCTTTTTTTTTTTTGACATGGCCCTAAGTGTATGTATAGGCTGATAACGCTTAGATGTGTGTTTGTTTTTCCGAATGCAAACCCGAGTATCGGCGGGTATAGTTGCTAGTATTATACACAAGTAACATGTCACGAACTGTTCCGACTCTATTTATTTTAAAAACAAATAACAATTGAGATTTCCTAAACTTTTCACGAAACAATGAATGCACTTAAAATTAATTTAAATTTCACATTTAAATAATTGTGGAATGATATTCTAACACTAGATGTCCAGTAATGCTTTCATAAGTATGGGCAATAACTCACACTGAAAATTGCACAGTAACCATCGCGAAACATGGAGACTAAACTAACGCTGTTTAAAAGGAAAACTCTGATTGGAACATTTGTGTTGTTAAGTTAGAACCACATTCTTTAACCTTTTTCTAATAATATAATTTTTAATTCCATTTTTTTTAAAATCTGTACAATGAAAATCAACAAACACAAGTGGGATATTATTTTAATTATCAATGTGTTTGATTTATTTTGTTTTCCTCCACAAATGATGTGTCCACGAGCTGTGTTTGATTCAAAATAAATTTTACCAGAAACAAATATCTGAAACAGGGACGGTTTCCTTCAGGCCCATTCAACAACAGGTTGAGAACTCCACCTGAACTCACATTCCCCAGTCAGTATCCAGGTGACAAACGAAGGGCGAGATCTATGTCTGGGCGTGTATGCATTCCTAAAGACATGTAACTTTTCAAGCTCCTTTGGGAAGGTACATTTCATCTCTTCTAGGATGTCTATGATGTCTTCTATGTCGGCGGTGTAGCGTCGATCTACACTTTTTTGACTTGCCTGAATAGAAACAGCGTTTTCAAGTATGATTTGGCATTCAAAGTGATCTGAAAAAAAAGTAAATCAACAAGTTATAATGGCGTGTTAGATTTCTTCTTTCCATTTCACATGTTTTTTTGTGGGTTTTTTTTTTGCGACATTGAGTTGCAAAGGCTGTTTGAATAAAGAAACACAAGTTAGTTTTCGTGGTCCTTGAAAATGTGTTTTAAATCTAATAGATGCTTATAGCACATGAGGCGAATACTGATTAATTACTTTATTGTGTATTTAGTTTTGAAAGACAATCGAAGTAGGCGTTACGTTGTCACGCAGGTATGTGAACCTTGACCTGAAGCGGGCAAGATGCTGCCTATGGTTGCCATGACAAGAGGGCCCTCGTCTCGAATGTCAATATAATTTTATCGTCCAAAGATGTGGCGAGAACTATGCCTTTACTTTGAGGCTAGCTTCATCGCTTGAACGAAAAGATGGCGTCATTCAAGGCCACAGCTTATGATGCCGAGCAGCACGAATGGAGGGGTTTTCGCCGGTTGTCACAATGTGCGATTAGTGATCAGACATTAGTAGCTATTACATTAGTAGTGCCATGTCATTAGTAGCCATGGAATTTGTAGCCATGAGATTAGTAGCCATCATATTAGCAGCCATGAAATTAGTAGCCTCTAAATTAGGAACCATGACATTAGTAGCCGTGACATTCGTAGCCATGACATTCGTAGCCATGATATTAGTTGTGCTTTACGTGATGTCTCGTGACACTACTGAAGACTTGAGAGGTACGGAACACTACGAAAGGTTATTTTGGGTCTAATCAAGTCACATGCGTTGGTTTTGGGGGGGTGGGGGTGGTTAAAAACCCTTCTCAGACTCCTAGACACACCTAATTTAGACACATTTGAAAATAATTTTAAACGTCTTATTGGATAGAGTTATTGATGAAGATGGACTTCTCAAATTTTGATTTTTCAGTAAACCAATTAACCGATTTATCAGTCCCAATAAGCCGACTATCGATTAATCGAAAATTTGGACATTAGATTTTCTCCCGATAACTCTGTGGAAACCCAGTAATCATTCATCCGATAAATATTTTTAATAATTAAATTTTGTGTGACGGTTCCCAAAAAGGGTAGCTGATGCTCTTGTCAAACTTTTATGTTCGGAATTTGATTTAGTAAATTAATAGACTAAAAGTATAATTAAATGTACATCAATATAAAATTGAGAATCGCTGCACAAATCAATACTTACATGTACATGTCGATTCTGTAGTCGTCACCATGGCAACACGACTGCCACCGCTGGCTCGTCCATTATTTTGAGGCTCGCTGTTCAATTCGGGTGCCTCCTGCTCTGAGTTAGTCTCCCACGAGACTTTGTCTCGGATGATTAGCTCGTCTCCAAACATTTTGCGGACTTCCGGTGGTAGCTTTGAAAGCGGCAACCTGATTGGCTGTGCCAAACCTATTAAAAATGAAATATTGATATTTTGACTTCATTAAAATTAATTTCGCCTCTTCCTTTTGGTATTTTAAAAGAGTGACCCAATCCAACATAATCCAAATGACGTAAAAAACTTTCCAGTGAAAATGAAACACAAATGTTTAAAGAACACCTACCTGTCATGACTACATCTCCCAGTGTGACCCGTTGCGCTTTCTTGACATTCTGAACTAAGCCTAGCTCACTATAGATCTCCTGCTGGTGGTCTGCATATTTTAGCTCCACCTTTAAGATGAGTCGATAGTTGAACACACACACACACAAAAAAAAAACTATGAGTGGTTCTAAATTATTCAAAGCATTTACATGTTTCATATAAGTTAATGCAACTAATACTAGATTTAAAGGAAAAAAATCAATAATAAAATGACCGGAACATCACTGGAATAAATAAAGTACAATGTGTTATGTTATGTCAAGTTATTTTGAAATTAAAATCAATTTTAGCGTTCTGTTCATTCTAAATTTGATTTTTCCACGTACAGAAAATGTCTGAAAGTCATAATATAATAATTTGATGACATACCTTCCTAGTAACTCCATTGGCTAATTTTGTGATTGGGGAAATCTGAGTCCATGTGACGTCAACTGACTGGTTGGGCGCATTTAGATCTCCTGCAATGTTAGACAGTGATATTACATAAGTAAATCTCGTAGACTTTAAATACTGGTGATTTGTAATTAGGACATTTCGCACATATACTCACCATCACAAGAACACACACTCAAAAGAACACCACGTCACATGAACACACACGTCACATGAACACACACGTCACATGAACACACCACGTCCCATGAACACACTAAAAACCATGACATGAACACAATGCAATGAAGATACCGTCACAGAAACGCACAATCACACGTTCATGAAGAGACTATCACATAAACACACATCACATGAACACACAAAACCCATCACATGAACACACAACAACCATCACATGAACACACAACACCCATCACATTAGCACACAACACCCATCCCATTAACACACAAAAACCATCACATGAACACACCATCACATAACGAGACCATAAGACGGGAACACACAACCGGATAGAATATCGTCACATAAAACATCAAATCAACACACACACACACACACACACACACACACACACGATGTTTAACCTTTGCTTGACCTCTGGGCCATTTCGGCAACATGCTAAGTGTCTAATTCATTTTTTTTTTAAATATATATATTTAAAACAACAAACAACTTTTAATATGTTTTACATAGGTATACTTTTAACATTCAAATGTTAACTCACCATTCATCCATGCGTGTCCTCTCTCCCCACTAAACCAGTCCACCACGAGCTTCGGCAAATTGATCAGCATAGCAGACTGTGTCGCCATTCTTGGATCTCTGGGTCTGTGTCTGTTAAAATTTAAATTAAAGCAACTGTCTAAATGAAGGAAATGAGTTCAATTCAAGATTTCTTTTATTTAAATTTTATTTTAAAGACCAATCCTTGTTTCCTAATAACTCACTCCTATAACGTAAATGGACTGGTGTAGTTCTTAAAGGTAAAAACCAACTCGCAGACACACAAGTCCAGATCCTGCTTTATATTATGGTTTGAAATATTATTAAATAACATGTTTTGTGTACACCAAATTTATAATAATTGAATGCTTCATACGCTTTTCACATTTTGTAATCTTAACTTAGAATCATGAGAGAATAATCCAATATAACATCATAAAAGACAAAAAAATACTTTTTTTTTTTTTTCTCGAAACATTGAGTCAAGATGGAATCTGATAATATTTCAGGACAGATGAATAATTTTAAGCATAAACCAAAGAAGAGACCACCAAAGCCCCAATCCTGATTTACATTAAAGTTACAAAATTAAAATTATACTTACGTCACACACATTATTTTATAATCAACTTCTAATTAATCTAATATAATATCCTTGAGAAAATTTGATCGAACTAATGGCACTGTATTTTTACCGGTATGAATTTTTAGACGATTAACTAAGATCTGTATACTCATTTTGTTCAAATAATTACTTTTGTCCAGAAATCACAGGGAAAAAAAATTAACTTACCTGTAAATAAATATATCAAAAGAATTATAAGCCTTTCAATAGCAATGGCGTAGGTTAAGATTTTGCGTTTAGTGTTAAGCTTGAAAAGCATTCAACACCCCGTCTTATATAGGCTCATTCAGCTATGCATACGCTAAAAATAAACTATTCCAAAATGAGTGATTTCCCCGTAAGGGACTACGTATTATTATTAATTGTTTCATTGGCAGACAAGGGAGGTCACGGACACGTCACTGATACCGAAACGAGTTGGCCAAACGCCTTGTACGTGGTTCGTAGCTTATCGGAACTTCCCGTCAACTCCGTACCTACTTCGTCTGTCACCGGCTACCGAAAGCGAGAGCGCTGCATTGGATCTATGTATTACCTAACTTTTCGAATGTATATATTCAATTACGGAATAATAAAATGTACTCTCAGAAAGGTGATGTTGATTTGGGGGTGGAGGGGAATTACTTTCGGTATGACGTGTCCGAATTGTCGACCCTATTTATAGTTTATTCTCATGATTCTATTGAGATGGAATCCTATAAAAGGAGATTCAAGACTCGAAAATTTTCAATCAGCCCTGGTGTCTTAGTATATTCAAGCTCATATTCCCTCAATCAGCCAATAGAGTATCGAAAATATCAGATTTACTATTCTTACAGTCTTTGGAGATTTTGTGATTGTGTCTTCCTCTACAGAGGTTAGTGCTTGGTTTTTATTTATTTATTTCGCTTGGCGAGGTTAATTCATTAAATAATTCATTTATTGAGATATTTAATTCAAGATGACAGGATGGTTTAAATTTCTTGATTAAGTAAGACAGACGCAAGTCAAAGTTATTTTATTGATTCATTTAGGCACCAGACGAGTTGAGGTGTTTATGGTATCATGTTTAAATTGTCAGCGTGCACCTCTGAAATTCGTGGTTCTTTCACATTAGCTTGTCGTGTCTTGTTATAATATGTCATGTGGTGCTCATGATGTGTAATGTGGTGCTCGCGATAATTAAAGTGGTGCCATTGATTATGTTATGCGATGCTTGTAATACCTTGTGGTGTTTATGTGAAGATTTAAAAAAAAATATTTTCACTCAGTAATGATGCATGGATAATTATAAATTCTTGGAATATAATTTGCCTGCATTATGATCTCAGATTATATTTATAAGTTTCTTAAAGCGCATATTTATTTATTTATTAACCTTTTCCATTTTGCTTTACTGCCCAATATTCGGCTAATTTGAATTACTGTAATCCATTTGTTTTAGAAATTTACCAGACATGGACTTTTCAAAGCTTTGCAAGGAGTACTGTAATGTCTATGATGTTCCAGGTATATATTTTTAAAAAAAATTAATACTCGCATATTATACTAAATTTTAACTATTCATACAATTTTTTTTCTTTGAATTGTACTTTCAAATATTAGAATAAATTCATATGGTAGGAGACTCTCAGAGTGCTGGTGACCTGTCAAAGTAGTTGAATTTGAAATACTAAACAAATCTCTTTTAAAAATGTAGACATGACGTCACCAAGTTTTGGTTAATAGGCCTATTCACGTATGAAGTTTCTACACTTCTCATTCAATATTTAATTAACTGCCCCACCCCACCCCACACACACACCCTTTTCTATCGCTCATTGCAGGTGAACCCAATCTTGACCTGCTCAAATTGTCCATTGATGGTGACGTCACGTGGACCAACGTCACACCTCAGTTGGCGTCCCAAGAAGCTTCAACAAGACAGGTCAGTGTTTACGGCTTATGTTTGGGCATTCACTCATTCGCCTTTTTCATTTTTTAGAAACTTATTATTTCATTCTTTTTTTTTTCTTCTTCGTTATTTTATCTGTATATGTAGTTGTTATTTTTTCTGTAGATGTTGTCGTTATTTTATCTGTATATGTTGTTGTTATTGTATCTTTATATGTTTTTTTTTTATAAATATCTTTTATAATAAATAATAAAGCCTTTTTAGTTATTTCTTTTTTGACAAAGCTGCATCCAACATAGCGCCCGCGGGCACCATTAGTTCTATGGTCACATGCTTTCATACCGACCGCGGGCACCATTAGTTCTATGGTCACATGCTTTCATAGCGACCGCGGGCACCGTACGTTCTATGGCTAAATGCTTTCATAGCCCGCGAGCCCCATACATTTATAGCGCCCTTAACAATATTTTTTGAATATCATGTTATTTGTTAAAATATAATATACAGTGACAATCTTCACAAATCTCCTAGACTTCCACAGCAGTAAGTCGAGGGGCAGCCAGACAGCACAGTTAACCTTAACCTTTTGCCATGCAGCACTGTTAAACATTAATTTATGTTGTTCCCAGTTAAACGTGATGTACACACCAAACCAGAGAGAGCTCTACAGCGATGTGGAGACAACCAAGGAGTCCGTCTGCAAGACCAAGGTGACAATTCTTCAGGGCGTAGCGCCAGGTGAGTTGTAGCCAGCAGAATGTATAGATAAATGCAGTTAGATGAAATTGAGATAGCTGACATATAAAGCTATAGGAGCTGTACCTTGTTAAGACAAAGAACGCGTAAAGGTTTTGAAAATCCATATCTTAAAGGCAGATTACTCTTTATTAGCCAAATATGGAAGACCTTTAAGACTGGTTCTTAAAAATTCTACTGTAAATATATATATATATATTTTTTTTGGTATCAATTATGATCCCTGTGTAATGTAAAACTTCCACAATGTCAAATGTACCGTTAAATATCATATCATGTATCAAATCTAAAATCATTTCACGGTCGACTGATGTCTCTGCTTCAGGTCTGAACAAACCACTGAAAGTTCCAACATCGAATCTGCCACCTTCCTTGGGGACATACGTCGAGCTACAGCCAGGGAAATCAATCCACGAGAAAGAGGACAAGATGACCGTTAGGTTGGGCAGCGCTCACAGAATGGACAGCAGCAGACCGGCCCTGGCCACAGTCTCGGACAAAGAAACCTATTTCATTGGTAGGTCGAGTTCTTCAAATCATTGTGCTTCAGTGCATGATTAGGCCAAGTCGCTAAAATAAAAATGGTTAACTGCATGATTAGGTCAACTCGCTAAAATACAAATGTTTTCCTTTTATTTGAATGTAGACAAACCACTTTTTAAGAAATTTCTAAATGCCGATTATTCTGATCGTTCATTAGAAACATTTCCAAATCAAATATGTCAGTGACATTTTAAGACAGTAAATCAAATATGTCAGTGACATTTTAAGACAGTAAATCAAATATGTCAGTGACATTTTAAGACAGTAAATCAAATATGTCAGTGACATTTTAAGACAGTAAATGAAATATGTCAATGACATTTTAAGACAGTAAATCAAGTATGTCAGTGACATTTTAAGACAGTAAATCAAATATGTCAGTGACATTTTAAGACAGTAAATCAAATATGTAGGTGACATTTTAAGACAGTAAATCAAATATGTCAATGACATTTTAAGACATTATGTGAACGAATACATAGATGATAATTGCAGTGCTTAGTTTTAAAGTGCAATATTTTTTTTTAAATACTGCATTACTGGTTTAAATTATATTAATTTAATCAAGGATATTTGACTAAAACAATTGCCGTTTTTTTTTTCCAAAGGTCGTTTTTCCTGTCAAGTCAAACTTGGTGGTAAAGTCTTAGTTCCACACCGAAATGGCGCTGTTGAGGAATTTGGAATAGCAGACATTGTCAAAGATGTCAGGCGTTGGCCAGCGGCTAGCAAGCAATCCGTGGAGGATGATGTCAAGGCCCTCAAGATCCTGAATGGTTCCGATGGTGCAGCTGAGTATGTCACGTGGACCGTTGCTGGCACGTGCGAGTTCCAGGGAGATTTTGAACGGACCATCCAGTGGAAATAACTCTTTGCGATTTTATTTGTATTTATATAGCTACATGTATGCTTACATTGTTGGTGATTGTTATAAAAAGGGGGAAGGGGGGAATATAAAAATAAATAATGGTGATCATATCCGCCAGTCTTTGTCAAAGATTTTTTAAAAGAATTAATTAATTATTTTGTGTTTTAAATTAATATTGACTAATTTAGCGAAATGAAAAAAAAGAAAGAAAAACACAAGATAGAGAGAACAAAAGAAATAAAGAATGAATAAAAGAAAATACAAAAAAAAAAAAAAAAAAAAAAAAAAAAAAAAAAAAAAAAAAAAAAAAAAAAAAAAAAAAAAAAAAAAAAAAAAAAAGGGGAAAGGAAAAAAAAAAAAAAAAAAAAAAAAAAAAAAAAAAAAAAAAAAAAAAAAAAAAAAAAAAAAAAAAAAAAAAAAAAAAAAAAAAAAAAAAAAAAAAAAAAAAAAGAAAGACAAAGAGAGAATGGGAAAAGAAATGAAAGAAGTAAAGAAAGAAAGAGGGAAGGGGAGAGAGAACATTTTTTTTAAAGAAAGAAAGTAAAAAGGAATGAAAGAGAGGGAGAAATATTTCGTGTCTCGTACAACATTACAAAATACCTACAGTGAACTCCCATTAAAACGTCATATAACGTAATCAGGACACTAGGGAATTCTCTGACCTAAATAACTTTCCGTGCAATGGCTATTTTTAGCAACCATTAGGGAAAATCTTTCAAAGAAAAGTAATAATCGATACTTCAATTATTTTAGGAAGTTATTTCGTATCTTTACGAAACAATAGAAACAAGTTACAACCAAGTGTTTTACTAGGTGAGTCTTTTTTTGTATTTGATGGAGTTTGTTTGAATAGATTCTGTAAACTAGAGGATTGTCTCCAAACTAGGATTATTTTTAATATTCAACTTCTTTGCGTCATCCCGAAACCGAATGGAGTCTACTAGATCACTAGTGTCTCGACCAATCGGAGATCTTCCTGATTTGACAAATCTTATTAAAACGAGGTTGAAACTTTCGGGAATCACCCTTTACTTTATGACGTGTTCCTTACGCATCATCTGATCTATATTATACTACTGAAACCGAGAGTGGAATCCTGCACCGCGTTGACAGCATTGTAGACTTCGCAACAACCTAATTACGAGGCCGTTTTAAAAGCGTTAAACTTGAGCCTTGTTATTATTTTAGAAGTGTTTTAAACGTGTTTTTTTTAAAAAGCAGCGACAACAACATGTCTTTAATTCTTTATGTCTTTGAACAACATATCTTGTATTCGCAGTATCAAAACAAAAGAAACCTAGACTTCTGGAGGTGACTCGGTCTGTACGTCGCGACGGATTTCCTCATAGGGTCAACCCAGGTCAAGGCCATGGCGCAGCAATCCAAGGGAGGGGTGGGGGAGGTGGGCTTATGTACAGAAGAAATAACAAACAAATATTTACAAAAAATGTCTGTATTATTTTGAAAGAAAATAAATAATGCTGTAGTCTTGTAGTGGTGTAGATTTGAATTTGAAAAATATTATGGAGTTTAAACATGATAAATATTGTCTTGATAAGGCATTTAAGTGATTATGTTTCAAAAATAAACTTTTATATGTTACATTGGAAATAATAAATAAACTTTTTTGGACGGGGTAAGTGCGCAGAATTATGTGCTTTGACCTAGGACACAGAAATGTGTAGTAAATACTGCCATGTCAGAAATGTGTAGTAAGTACTGCCATGTCAGAAATGTGTAGTAAGTACTGCCATGTCAGAAATGAGTTGTAAATAGTGCCCTTTCAGAAATATGTTGCAAATACTGCCCTGTCAGAAATGTGTAGTAAATAATACCGTGCCTGAAGGTTTCTGGATATGGATAGACCTGGATTAACTTTCAGTCATATTTTCCAATCCCCACAATCTATCCATTATTATTATTATTTTTTTTTTGGCCGACAATAAGAAAATTTAAACACATTTTCTAATGAAAAAGATTAATTAAAATTTTAGAAATAAAATTGCAACTGACAGGAGCCATTCTGGCCATATTGTCAACATTATTAGTTAATGCTTTATATTAAAACTGATTGCTATTTACACAACTCTTTGTTGGCGGCTGGTGGCCTATGTAAATGACATCGTCTTAAGTGTGCTCAATCTAAAGTCTGGTAACACCTGAGCCACAAAATATTTAAAATTCTGATCAATATATACGCCAAGCATGACATACAAATTGTCCCCTGTATCTACATGACACACAATGACTGTCCCCTTGTATCTACATGACACACAAATTATGTCCCCTGTTTCTACATGACATACAAATTATGTCCCCTGTATCTACACGACATACAAATAATGTCCCCTGGATCTACATGACATACAAATTATGTCCGCTGGATCTACATAACACACAACGTATGTCCCCTTGCATCTACATGACACACAAAGTATGTCCCATGTATCTACATGACATACAAATTATGTCTCCTGGATCTACATGACATACAAAGTATGTCCCCTGTATCTACATGACATACAAATTATGTCTCCTGGATCTACATGACACACAAAGTATGTCCCCTGTATCTACATGACATACAAATTATGTCTCCTGGATCTACATGACACACAAAGTATGTCCCCTGTATCTACATGACACACAAATTATGTCTCCTGTATCTACATGACATACAAATAATGTCCCCTGTATCTACATGACACACAAAGTATGTCCCCTGTATCTACATGACACACAAATTATGTCTCCTGGATCTACATGACACACAAAGTATGTCCCCTGTATCTACATGACATACAAATTATGTCTCCTGGATCTACATGACACACAAAGTATGTCGCCTGTATCTACATGACACACAAATTATGTCCCCTGTATCTACATGACACACAAATTATGTCCCCTGTATCTACACGACATACAAATAATGTCCCCTGGATCTACATGACACACAAATTATGTCCCCTGTATCTACATGACATACAAATTATGTCTCCTGGATCTACATGACACACAAATTATGTCCCCTGTATCTACATGACATACAAATTATGTCCCCTGTATCTACATGACATACAAATTATGTCTCCTGGATCTACATGACACACAAAGTATGTCCCCTTGTATCTACAGGACACACAAATTATGCCCCATGTAACTACATGACACACAAAGTATAACCCCCTGTATCTACATGACACACAACTGCTGCCCGTCTTTTAATCACAGATTTGTTTGATGGGAATTATTTTTCTTTTTTTAAAGGGGCGGGGCAGGAGGTCATTTTAGGTGGTGGGAATAGGTCATTTAAGGGGGAGTGGAAGTCGATCATTTAAGGGGGAGGGGAATTTGTTCATTTAAGGGGGAGGGGAATTAGTTCATTTAAGGGGGTGGGGAAGCAGGTAAACTCGAAGATAAAGCCATAAAGTGTTCATCTTGTTTCATAGTCTGACCATCTCATGACTTATGGTCTGACCATCTCATGACTTATAGTCTGACCATCTCATGACTTATGGTCTGACCATCTCATGACTTATGGTCTGACCATCTCATGACTTATGGTCTGACCATCTCATGACTTATAGTCTGACCATCTCATGACTTATGGTCTGACCATCTCATGACTTATAGTCTGACCATCTCATGACTTATGGTCTGACCATCTCATGACTTATAGTCTGACCATCTCATGACTTATAGTCTGACCATCTCATGACTTATGGTCTGACCATCTCATGACTTATGGTCTGACCATCTCATGACTTACGGTTCTGCAGTTGTTATTTTTTTTTTCATTTGCATTATGGAGAAAAAAAAAATAAAATAATAATAATTTAACCTTAAAACTAATCAACAGACCAACAGCCTTTGTTTTCTGTCCTCAAATAAAGCATATTTTAATAGCTGAACAGAAAAAATAAAATTAAAGTTTATTACAGTAGTTTTCATGTAAAAGTTGACATAACTGACTCAATTAATAGTACAGAATATCTCAATAAAAGGTATCTTTAATATAAACTGCAAATAAATTAACCAACATGTATAAACTTCCCCATTCTGTATTGGGGCATTCAGTTACATTGCTGTTCAGAGTTTGGAACAAAAACAAAGAATTCCTTATACCAGAATAGACACAAGCAATATACACGTACGGTAATCAATCAATAACGGTACATGCACAAAAAGTGAGAATCCCTGGTGTATAGGTTTTAGTGGATTATGTAAATATTAATATTTCAGACTCGTAAATTTTTATTCAGACGCAATGGCAGTCATTGGCATAATTTTTATGACAATTTAAAAGGAATAAAGAGCACACAAAAGGGGGTGGGGGGTGGGGGATAGGCTGAGGGTTCAAACCCCCCCCCCCCCCCCAACGTCTTGGAACAGCTACCCCCTATCTTAGGGCCACAAAAGGTGTCAACAAAAAGAGTGACCGAAAAAAAAAAATTATGTGCCCAGACAGATAACAAGGACATATTATAATAATGGCTACAGATAGTAAAGTCCCTTTGGTAGTGGCAACATTTTGTAAAGTCTTTTTCATTTCACCATCATTGGAGAACACTCAGATCTTGAGGCAATATTCGGGAGGCTAATATCAATTGAATTAAAACCTTAACGACATCATAATATCAAGAGACCTTAACATCAAGAACTATACTCACACAATGTTATCACTATAACAAAATAACGTACTCGGCCATACAACATACATCAATAAGTAAAGCGGTTTTTAGCATAAATAAAGTAAAGGATTTATAAATAAAACCAATTCTAGAGATAAATTCCCGGTCCTCGGTTAGGGCCCTATTTGCCTGGGTGACATCATTGTGAGAATCCCTGGTCAACACACGCAAAATATGAAGCTAAACAATATATAAAACAGTTGCCAACTACATTTTTTTGCTTATCAACTTTTTCAAATCACTTATTTTGTAGAATTAGCCAAACCCAAAGGCATTGATTATAAAGAATTACAGAAAAGACCTTTCATAAAGAAAAAATTTGTTAAAAGCCATCCTCCAAAACACCCGGTAACTGACAATAAGAAATGAGCTAGCGTAAGCTCTGTCAACCCCAAACATTGCAAGTAAGGGCATTTATCACTGGGCTTAGAAGTGATAAATGTGGGGTTTGAAAATTAAAAATTCAGTTTGAAAAAAAATATGTGACCCAAGGAGCAGAAATTATTTTTATAGACTGACGTACCGGTATTCAACTAGTTCAAGTTATTTTATAACGAGATCTGGTTTTTAACACACAAAAAATGTGTATATTGACACCCTAATGGAGGATTCAGTTTAATGTTGTGCATCTTATCTTCATCATTTTTACAAATGAATGGAATCTAGAGATTTTGTTTATGTGAACATTTTAAAAAAAATTAAATAAAAAGTTTTTTTTTAAAAATACATATTTACATAAAGTAACAGAAATAAATTATATGCAGTAAGTAAAAACACGTGAGATAATATGGGTATGTTACTTGAACATATGATGAGATTGATAGAAAACATATGTGTGTATGCTTAGTTCAATAGTTAGCTGTAGAGGTTAAATTCACATTGTCCTGTCACCTCCCATTCACAGCCTTCAGGCATTAATAAAATCTCATCTGTTAAGTCGGAAAATTCAAGGTAATTAACAATTTCCTTAAAGTCTACCTCCTGGACCGACCTGTCATCTTCAATAATTTTGACATCGCCACTCAAATTGGCCATCAGTGTGAACGTACCTTAAAGACAAAACACAAAACAATGATTACTTCAAAACTAAATAGATTGCAATTAACAAACAATCCATCATTAGTTTGACTGAATGAAACATGGTAAACCAAGGGTTTAAAATTTAGAATAGCCATGAATAGTGTCAAATTATATGTCTGTGTCAAATAACAGCCATGAAAATTTTCAGCTTATATGTCTGTGACACATTAAATTTCATATGTCTGTGACACATCATATGCCTGTGACACATCTTATGTCTGTGACACATCTTATGTCTGTGACACATCTTATGTCTGTGACACATCATATGCCTGTGACACATCTTATGTCTGTGACACATCTTATGTCTGTGACACATCATATGCCTGTGACACATCTTATGTCTGTGACACATCATATGTCTGTGACACATCATATGTCTGTGACACATTATATGTCTGTGACACATCATGTCTGTGACACATCATATGTCTGAGACACATTATATTTCTGTGACACATCATATGTCTTTGATGTCCCATATGTCATTGATTGTGTTTTGAAAACTCTGCAGACCATGTTTTATAAGTTCAAGAGAAAGAATAAACTCACCAGTGTACCGCCCCCTCCATACAGGGCCAGCAGCCGCAGCACCTTCTTGAGATGGTTCGGGATTAACTAGGTAAGGACTGGGCTCAGTTTCAGTTACTGCACTCCCAAGGTCAAGGTCTAGGGACTTTACGCTCAGATAATTCAGGATATAATCAGGTAGGCGCTTAAATGGAAGTTGAACTTTTTTGTCAAAACCTGTTTGGTAAATACATTATTCATCTGATTAAATCAAATGTGATTATTTAAGTGGGTCAATTTAACTTTTACATACTACAATTTAACTATTACATACTAAAATTTAACATTTAAATACCCAGTACTACAATTTAACTTTTACATACTAAAATTTAACTTTTACATGCTACAATTTAACTTTTACATGCTACAATATTACTTTTACATACTACAATTTTACTTTTACATACTACAATTTAACTTTTATATAATCCAATTTAAGTACAATTTTGACTTTTACATACTACAATTTAACTTTAACATACTACAATTTGACTTTTACATACTACAATTTAACTTTTACATACTACAATTTAACTTTTACATACTACAATTTAACTTTTACATACTACAATTTAACTTTTACACACTACAATTTAACTTTTACATACTACAATTTAACTTTTACGTACTACTTTATACCACCCAAGACTATATTGTAGACTTTAAAGTTTAAAAGAAAAAATATCAAGCTTTCAATTGCACATTGTAAGGGTAAATAGTGTGTGTTAGTTTCTGTCAGCTGCAGCGCTGTTTGTAGAGGGTAATTTATTACCCAGAAACACCTGCAATTTAACGCTTGTGTATTTTAAGTTGTTAGGCGAAATATCAGAAGATTCCACCTCTATCTACTTTATCGAGATGAAATTTGTGCAGGTTTTTGTTAAAAAATTAACTTGCAGGACTCAGATGTTAGCCCTAGGAGAGAAGAGCTAATTTATTTGAATTATTTATTTTTGAGAGTGATTTTGATTATAGCTTTGCTGCCATTACTTATGGTAGTAATAATCATCATAGTTGACCTAGCACCGGTAGCAGATTAAGTTCTAATAGTGTTAGCAATCTAAGATTAGTGGAGAGTAGGGTACTAATGAATTTGATAGGTATTCATTATATAAAGAAATATGAAGGTAACCAATAATTATTTTTTTAAATTTCTAACATCTTTAACTCCAAATAACCTGTTATTTTCTTAACTGAAAGATTAATTTTTTTATGAATCTGAAGAAAAAAACAACAACTTATTTAGATGTTTAAAAGGACTCAACAGTCAGTGGGGGCATGAGTTGAGGAAAGAGAGATAAACAGTGGCACAATTGTACTCACCGTTGAAAGACCAAGGTCATATTCATTTCACATAGCTAACAGAATTCCAACATTCACACCATATGATTCCTTGTCCGATTTGCACTCAGAATATTTATACTTATATGGGTCCATGGATTCAGCTGCTATTAGTTTTGGGTATTTTAGTGACGCACATCAGTTACTAAAGACATATTGACACCAACATCACATTCGCATTTGACAGTTAGTGGGTTACAAAACTTGTTCTAGCTAAATTTATACATCACAGTAAAAATATACACTCACCTGTGTTCCCATATTTTATCAAACCTGAATGAAGTTCAACTTTACACTCAGGTTCCCCAACCAACAGGGGACTCTTCATCCTGGCTAAGACGACGGTTTTCTAAACAATATTTTAAAAAAATGTTCATTTATTTATGGCAACATGATTTAAAGAATGAATATGTTGATATCATCACTCTAAATCTTTGATACCGTTTAGACTACCAATGACAAAGGCTTGAGATTCAAAATAAAATTAAACAATAATTGAAAATAACTTAAGCGTTACGACACCCTAACAGTAAAGTGTTTGAAGCATTCCGTCTCTTAAATTCATTTATTCATGCAATGCTGCTTTTTTAAAAAAAAATTTATTCAATAAAGGATTTCTGAGCCAGACATGAAGATCATAAGCGGTAAAGTTATTGGCGAAAGTGTAATGAGGGACTAACAAGACACAGATCATGCCACAAATGGGCGGAATATCGGCTATCTGAACAAAAAACTTTGTTATAATTAAAAACAATTATTTTTTTTTATTTTTAAGTATACAAATGTCATCTTTACAATTTATCTGTGAGTACCTTGATTGCTTTGATTAGAATTTTTGTTATAAATATCAATTACCTTACAATATATGTTTTTCAAGTTTGACAGGGGCACCGTATATCCTTGGTAAAATTGTCATATGTCACCCCACCCCCAACCTATAATAATATTTATTAAAATCAATGGATTTAATTAAACAATTTTATACCCAGATTTGATATCATAAAGGCATTTTTGTAATCATCATTTTTACATCATCTTCTACATTTCAGCACACTCAAAGTAATATTAGCATCATTTTTCTTTTACTATCTTACTTTTTTGGCCATGCATGGCCTCGATGGATCTGACTTTTGGATGATATCTGTCCAGGTTAGATTTGACATTGACAGTTTAAGATAGTCATAATCATACGTCCCTTTAAAAAAAATCAAAATTGATACTTCCATGAGTGAATGAATTGATATATTTATTTTATTTGGAATATTCATTAACCTATAAATTTAAATCCAGTTTTAGTATAAAATTTATTACCAGGTATCTCGTTTTGCAACATCCACTCCTCTATCAATAATGCCAATTCCAGGGGAGCTTCTCTCTCCATCCTGAAATCAGCATAAATTATTATTATTATTAATAAATCATTGAAGTTATAGTATACTTGTTTAGTAGAATAATTTGGCTAAAGGGACCCTGGTCCGAAAAGCCACTTCGATAAAGGCAGGCAGCAGGCATATGTCATTATGATCATGTTTTGACATTTTTATGATTTTTAGTCACCGAAAAGAAAAAGTACATACTAGACTATAGACTTTAGTCATACCTACCGTAGTTAGTATTGACTAAGTAATTGTAATTGTAGGCCCTGCCGCCTATAAACTTACTTTATATTTATAAGTTAAAAGTTAAAATAAGTATAGTAGGTAAAAAAGGGAAAGGATCCTACACAGAAACTTAAAGTAGCCCGGCGAACAAACATTGGTCACTACAGTTGCTATAAGTTATAGTGCATTATAATAAATACACTTGAAGAAAACATCAAATAGAAACATCTAAAGACCTAAGAGATACTATTTTATAGAATAGTGGCGTCGTTAGTGATGTATAGCAGATGGCTGAACCTGATTGAAAGAGAGTAGCTCGCCCCTTGCGGTGATTAGTGTCATTTTGGCCCGAGTTTTATCCCTCCATTTAAGATGCCTGAAAAACATCAGTGACGGCTCGTGTCAAGTGCTGTGGAACTGCACGAGCTTCGGCAGCTAAGCAACTTAAACGATTTTGGTGTTCCCCACCCCAATAATATAGCCTATCTAAATCAATATACAGTATATCAAGAAATAAATATAGACCTACTGTATGATGTATAATTTTTTTTTTGTTTAAATTTCTCTAAGAACATTTTGCACTTACGAAGATATTATTTAAAATTGTAATCTCTCAATTATTTTTATTTTAAAGTTTTGCTCTTCATTTTCTTGTAGCAAAATCTTTGATCGCCGGATATCTGTAATTTATCTGCTGCTTGACTAATTAGAGATAAAGCAATAAGTCTACCTCTCGGTGGCGTAGTTATCGTCAAGACCACCCGTGTCAGGATATGAATTGCCACCTCCATTCCAAACAGAAATTATTAAAAAATACGTAGTTGGCCGAAAATCCCACCCCTCCATATAAAATATAAAGAAAAGCTGACGCCCGGTGGGAAACGCCCCCCCCACCCACTTCCTACGCCTCTGCTGCTTCTATACCAGCGTTGCCCACTTAATTTAATTAAAAATATTTGAAAATGATCAAATCTTCAAATAAACAAATCTTCAAATGATCAAATCTTCAAAAGGTCAAATCTTCAAATGATCAAATCTTCAAATGATGGCTGCCGAGGAAATGATAGGAAAAATGGGTGGGTGGGGGGGGGGGTCTAGAGGGATGGGGCTCAGTGAGGCCTTGCCCAGAAAATGTTTGATCACTTCAAAATCTATTGTTTTGCATCCATCTACTTTCTTAATTGGAGTGCGACAGAAGAGATGCTAATGGAAATTAATTCCATAAAATGATTCATCTTTTTTTTTTTTTTTTATACTGTCATGAAAATACATCTCATTTTCAGATGATGATAAGGTGAAGTGTGGCGTGTCGTTTCGTGGAAAAAATAGCTGCACATTTCTTGGAAACGAAAATGTTACACTTTGTATGGATTTTTTCAAATTGTAGGTTTGACTCCAACCCCCCCCCCCCCCAAACTTTTTTTTTTAATACCGTAATCACGTGCTTATATTGCTGAATGATTAGCCCAAGGTCAAGGTTGGGGGTGCCCGAGACTGGGGCGAGGTTCGGATGTTTGCTCATTTTGATTTTTGCTGAGTTGATTCTGGAACAGTTTGGGTTGGCGGGTTGGTACATTCTCCCAAGCCCCGAGCTCTGTGTCGTCGTCCTGCATGTTTCTTCGACATTGTTTGTGAGGCAAAGTATTGATTTTAAAAACATTAGGTTATCGTTTTATTTTTAAAAAATGAGCTAACGGTAATTGATTTCAAAACTGTGAGGTGGATCTAAGATCATCGATTGAAATCCTCATTCAAATGAAATCGCTACCCAACGAAACTGCGAATATTTCTTTCGATTCAAAAAAACTATCCGTTAATGACGGACAATCGAAATGAGAATGCAAACTTACGCAGCATGGCTTATTTACTAATGAATTTAACGCACAAACATTTTCATTTGGCCAAGTAGTCTCTCTTCTTAACCCCCCTCCCCCTCCCTTAACCAACCCAAGCCCATTTCCTCCCATGTCGGTTCACTTAATTTTTTAAAATTCTTTCGATTTCTTCATTTGTCCTGTTTACTGAGGAAGGCTCTTGGCCAAAACGTACACCTTTTACTTTTATTGTCCTGTCTTTATATTTCAAGTTTCTGCATACCTTGTTCTACTATTTAGTTCAATGTACCTTGTTCTACTATTTAGTTCAATGTATCTTGTTCTATTTAGTTCAATGTACCTTGTTCTACTATTTAGTTCAATGTATCTTGTTCTATTTAGTTCAATGTATCTTGTTCTACTATTTAGTTCAATGTATCTTGTTCTATTTGGTTCAATGTACCTTGTTCTACTATTTAGTTCAATGTATCTTGTTCTACTATTTAGTTCAATGGCCGCCCCCCTTTAATAAAAAAAAATCTAAAATGTCATTTCTGATAAAGCTATGATGGCAGGTGATTTGCTATGTGCTTATAATTTCCTATGACAATTATAACTCCTGGGCAAAAAACATAACACAACACAACACATTCTGCTTTAAGATAAGATATCTCAGGACTGAGGATAAGTATGGTATAAATTATGAGATAAGAAATGATAAGATTCTTTTATTGATCCAAATGAAAGGAACATTTTTGATTACATAGTAAATATTCATTTTCAGCACATAAATGAATACATATTTTAAGCAAGACAAATCTTTAAAATTAAAACAATTTTTGCTCTCTCTCCCTCTCTCTCTTTTCTCATTCTGTCTTGTTTTTACCCCCCCCCCTTCTCTCTACAGCCATCAATGACAATAATGAGTTAATTAATGATCATTTAGATTTCAGAGTTATGATCTTTTTGCTATTCTCCTCTTGAGGTAGTTTGTTCATGGTCAGTAAATATCAAGGTCATTCAGAGCTTCACTACAGCTTAGGATCAAGAGATAACAAACAACTACACAACAATAATAACATTATAACAAAATAATGAATGCACAATAGCATACACTCATCACTATCTAAAGTGGTCCAAAGCATAATATCACTTATCACTATCTAAAGTTATCTGAAGCATAATATCACTTATCACTATCTAAAGTTATCTGAAGCATAATATCACTTATCACTATCTAAAGTTATCTCAAGCATAATATCACTTATCACTATCTAAAGTTATCTCAAGCATAATATCACTTATCACTATCTAAAGTTATCTCAAGCATAATATCACTTATCACTATCTAAAGTTATCTCAAGCATAATATCACTTATCACTATCTAAAGTTATCTGAAGCATAATATCACTTATCACTATCTAAAGTTATCTCAAGCATAATATCACTTATCACTATCTAAAGTTATCTGAAGCATAATATCACTTATCACTATCTAAAGTTATCTCAAGCATAATATCACTTATCACTATCTAAAGTTATCTGAAGCATAATATCACTTATCACTATCTAAAGTTATCTCAAGCATAATATCACTTATCACTATCTAAAGTTATCTCAAGCATAATATCACTTATCACTATCTAAAGTTATCTCAAGCATAATATCACTTATCACTATCTAAAGTTATCTCAAGCATAATATCACTTATCACTATCTAAAGTTATCTGAAGCATAATATCACTTATCACTATCTAAAGTTATCTCAAGCATAATATCACTTATCACTATCTAAAGTTATCTGAAGCATAATATCACTTATCACTATCTAAATTTATCTGAAGCATAATATCACTTATCACTATCTAAAGTTATCTGAAGCATAATATCACTTATCACTATCTCACGTTGTCTGAAGCATTATATCACTTGTCATTATCTCAAGTGGTCTAATCATGATATCACTGAGCATCACAAGCTAAAGTGGTCTGAAGCATAATATTTCTGCTTTACTGTACAATACATTCTCATACCGTTTTATGATACTATAATAATAAGTGAGGTTGCTTAAAATATTAAAACGCTTCAAAATACCAGGCTAGTAAAGCAAATTAGTGCAGTTTTTTTTTTTAAGTACCGTACTTAAAAGTTTTTAAAAAAAAATACATTTACGTTAAGTAACAATGAAATAAATATTTCGTACGTTTTAGTTAAGGTATGTAATGATACGTTGCTTAAACATGTGATGAGATTGTTGAACAGCAACTAACTATGTGCATCCTCAGTTCAACAGTTAGCTGTACAGGCTTAGTGCAACAGTTAGCTGTACAGGCTAAACTCACACATTCCTGTCACCTCCCAGTCACAGCTTTCAGTTTTGACTCTTATGTACTCAGTTTTGTTTGAAAATTTTAGGAAATGCACCATTTCTTTAAAGTCTACCATCTGGACTGTCCCATCATCTTCAATAAATTTGACATCGCCACGCAAATCAGCCATCAGCGAGAATATACCTTAAACACAAAGCAACATTTTTTTTACATTTCAAATCCAAATAGATGAATATACACAAAATAAATAACCACATCCAAATAGATGGATATACCGGTACACAAAATAATTAACCATTATTAGTTTTATTGAATGAAACATGGTAAATAAGAGTATAAAATTTAGCATAGCCATTAAAAATTTAGAATAGCTATTAAAATTTTAGAATAGCCATTAAAATTTTAGAAAAGCCATTACAATTTTAGAATAGCCATTAACATTGTCAGCTGAGGTGATTGCCACATTATATTGCAGGAATAAAATGATTTTCATAATCTGTTTGTCTGTTTTATACGTGCAACAGAAAGAAATAACTCACCAACATAACACCCCCTCCATACTGGTCCAGGAACTGCAGCTCCTTCTTCAGATGGTTTTGGATTAAATAGGTAGGGACTGGGCTCAGTTTCAGCAGCTTCTCTCCCAAGGTCAATGTCCAGGGACTTTATGCTCAAATAATTCAGGATATAATCAGGCAGGTCGTCAAATGGAAGATTAACTTTTGTGTTAAAATCTGTTTTTTGAAAACCCATGAGTTATTTTATTTAAGGAAAAATCAAAGTAGGTCAACAAAAATATGCATGTTTATTTATATCAACCAATAGAAAACTAAAGACTTAAATATAGTGGATTAAGTTGAATGAAAGGAGTAATTGGAACAAGATATATGTCTTCCAGTTCTAAAAAGCAGAGGCATAGCTATGATATTTTGCGCTCTGGGAAGAACTATAATCATTTTATCACATTTTTCTGTTACATTGAATGAGGAAAACAATTTAGATTTTTAAAAATATTGTATTTGAAGAAGCAAATTTACAGAAATTATGATACATGACCCACTCAGTCACTGTCGTAGACTGGTACAAAAGATTTTTTTAAAATTTCAATGTTTCAAACTGGTCAATTACGCAATCTGTTTTTTTACACTTTTCCTATTTCAACGCTAAGAATACCAAGAACACTAAGATGATCCTGTCCCATTGAAGTACGCAAATGCGACAAAACAAGAAGGCTATCAGATGACATGTCTGCTGAGCGGCTGCAGCGATCTTGTGACCAATGTATTACCCTTGTTTACTTATTATAATGTAACATTGTAAGCCTCATTTTGTACCTGTATCTTGGCGCCTGGGGACATGTGTAACTCGCCTGCCCCCACCCCCCCTTCGTTATGCCTCTGCTAAATAGTAAGCTACATTCCATTTTATTTAAATTGAAAGACCTAATTAAATGTTATTTATTGATTTGTACTGTCTGCCAAACATCCTTTTAACTTTCCCGTCTTTCCTTTCCGGCCTAAACATATCTTGTTCCACTATTGATTCCCTTCGCATGGCTTGAACGCCATTCATATATTATAAGATATATGGACGTTTGAAATATATAACAAAAATATAATATGGGCGTTTGTTCCACTAAGGGCAAAACAAGACATAAGATAATGAATTAGAAAATGAGGTAATTTGTTGGAGGTAATTTAATGCCACTGTAAATATCAGGACATTACCCCACCCCTATTCCAGATAACAGTATCAACTTTATATACCGGCTCTACAGTAAAAATATTCACTCACCTGTGTTCCCATATTTGATCAAACCCGAATAAAGTTCAACTTTACACTCAGGTTCACCAACCAACAGAGGACTCTTCATCCTGGCTAAGACGACGGTTTTCTGGACAATATTTAAAAAAATGTTAATTCATTTAACAGCAACATGATTTAAAGACTGAATATGTTGATATTATCATCACTGAATATGTTGATATTATCAAGACTGAATATGTTGATATTATCATCACTGAATATGTTGATATTATATTCAATGAATATTTGAAATTTTCATCACTGAATATTTGAAACCACAAATAGACTACCAACGACTACGGCTTGAGAATAAATTTAAACACTAATTACAAATAACTACAGTTTTACAGCAACCAACCAGTAAGGTATTTTGCAGCCATCTCTTCTCTTAAATTCATTATTGATCAGAGGATAATGTTGGTGGTTCAAAAACCTAACATCGAAAAATAGATTTCTGAGCCAGACGTAATGATCTCCATTTTCAAATTTTATATTTTGAATTAATAAATTTGGGCATCAAACATTTTATCCAATTTTGATGAGGCTTTTTTGTCCTCCCATTTCCTTGTTCATATTCGTGCACCATATAACATATTCTATTCTTCTTCTGTCCGCCTTGTATGGATATTTAGCAGGGATGTACAACTGTCAATTGGCTACAAGATGTGAGGATCCTAGATATTTGAACTGATTTAATATTCATAAATGGTGGTTTGTAATTTTATAGTCCACAAAGAGTTGGTGCACTGGGATATTGATGCACTGGGATATTAGTGCACTGGGATATTTTATTCATAACATTTCTCTGAGAGGTGTATCTGACGGTGTAAATCTGATCAGTCGTTCATCTGTTTTGTCTGAATCAAAATTGGTAGTCACCGAGTATTTGGTCACATTAGTGGTAAGCTAGTATTTGTTCAGGGTACGGTTGGAGTCTCTTGTCCATTAGTTTTGTTAGTATTTTGTATGTTGCTAGTTACATTTAATAGGGAAATTCCTCTGTAGTTTGTGCATTGCAGTTTGGAACCTTTCTTGTGAATTGGGGTTATTAGTGCTTGTTCACATTCTGCTGGAAATTTTACTTCTTGTCAGATTTTAGCATTAAGTTTATGACTCTGAGTGTTATTTTTAGTATTGTATTGTTTACACTAGCATACTATTTTCAGTGGTCAGGTTATGAGCGAGTTAAATATTATTTATTCTTTTCATGATACAGAATCTGGGAGATCTGGTTATCATGGAATGGGCTTTAGATCGAGTGTATATGGTATGTCTTTTCGACTCAATTTAAGCACAATCACTTAATAAGATTTATCACTTTACTTATACTATCTTACCTTGTGCGCCATGATTTTCAGTGAAGGATCTGATTTACAAAAAATGTCTGTCCAGATGATTTCCGGCAAAGAGAGTTTAAGGTCATCATACTTATAAATCCCTAAAATATAAATAAATAAAAACAGCAATTAGATTTTCCAGTGGAGAGTGAATTGTTTCGGTGAAATATAGGCCTATTAATTAAATTTAATTAGAGCAAGAATAAAATTAAAATAATTACCTTGAATTTCTTTATGCAGCATCCATTCCTCAATCAATGATGCCAATTCCAAGGGATTGAAGATATCCATCCTGGAATCTGAATGAAATATAATTAATAAATCCTGAAGAAATATATTTAAGCTCTAAAATTCTTTGGAAAAAGTTATCGTTTTTTAAATTTTATTTGTTGAAAATGTCATAGAAAAATAGAAACATACACTTAAACTTTTATACATTTTTCTGCGTCCTTCCTGAATTCATGTTTTTCAAGTACAACACGAGAGATTATGTAAAAATAAGTTAAACAAGTATTTAAGATCAAAAAGCTCCATTCTAGTTCTAGTAATTTTGCTGCACACAACTACGACTCAATTAGTTACATTTTTGCTGAAGGCTCGATACCATCTTATCACTTGGACTTGGATTGAAAATGGAAATAACAACTTTGAAAATGTTATAATATTTCAAGGCACCTCAGTTACAGCTCCCAACGCATGGTGACGCACACTTCGGAAACCATTACACAAGGGTTTCCCCAAACCTTTTCTATACTCTGCACCCTCAGCCTGTTGCTTGATTAATTCTCACACTACTTGTAAAAAAAAAAAAAAAAAAAAAAACCCCCCACATTTTTTTTAAAAAAAAACTGTTTTTATCCCTGACATTAACAAAAAATTACAACAAGCTTTAAAAAAAAAATACTAAAAAATTTGATAATATTTAAACTTCAAAATTTCAGGATCATCTTAGATAGATTGTGATTGCTTTAGTTGGATTTGAAACTGATTAGTATTAGATTAGATAAAAAGTAATATTTCCAGTAAGAATAACCCTTTGAAATGAACAGATCGAGTTTTAAGGCTGACGATCTGCACGATGCACATAAAGTTTCAACTAGTTAATCGCGCGCAGAGATTTTTATTAATACTGACATCATTTTGCCGATTTCTGGCCCCTCAGACAGAAATTAGCAACCAGCCAAGAATCTGCGCATAATGATAATGCCGAGCGTTATTGTCAGATAAAAGTTTCGACTAACGATGAGTGTTATGCGCACAGCAGTGCGTATAATAATCATTTCGTAATTTAAATATGACATTTTTTAAACAGGCCTATACTATGTGACTGTGACTATGTGAGAAATTCATTGACTTTTTTTTCTATAACTAACAGTTATCGATATTGTTGCTTCTTGATTGACAGCCCACAGCATACCGACTAAGAGTCATAGAGTGTCGATATTTCGAGGCACGCACAATCACAATGATTGTGACAATGGTCTGGACACGGACAGTGCAGTCTATTCAATGAGTATTAGATCTAATCATTGTGGCTTACTTGGTTACTCCTAAATTACAAAAAAAACCAACAAAAAAACGTAGTCATTCTCAAAACTAAACCACTGTAGTATTCATCGGAGACTCAAGATTATTGTTGGTACTTCTTAGTGGCATCTATGGCATAACAACAATATTTTGACAAGACTGCCATTTACTTTTTACGAAATTCCTCAAATATTTCCCAAGATATCCCAAGGTTATAATAATACACAAATTAAAGAGTTTAAAATTTTAATTAGACTAATACAATACAATTTTGAATTAATGCATCAAAGCAACTGAAGAAAAGTTATTTAAGGATATTAATTTTTACAAGGTTTATTACGTCAAATAAAGTGTATATTTTGTTTTGAAAATATTATTATTTTGTAAAAATTTGAACACCCTAGACCAGGGGTCGGCAACCTTTTCAGACGGAAGAGCCAAAAGTTACAATTTACAAAAATTTCCCAGTTTTTAAAGAGCCAATAACATTTTTATTTCAATATGATTATTAATATTTGCGCATGGAACTGTAGAGCCGCATCTTGACACCAAAAGAGCCGCATGTGGCTCGCGAGCCGCAGGTTGCCGACCCCTGGCCTAGACTGATCTAGAGTCTCTAGTAATGCAGTGGTCGGAAAATCGCGGCTCTTTAGCGACTTGAGTGCGACTCAGCCAGTCGGCAAAAATTTTTTTTTTAAAATCGGGGTTGACTCCGAAAAACATGGTTCTTGAATAGAAATGTGGCTCTCAAAACAATTGTTGTAATCGTCCTGCTGTTGATTTTTAGCTATTTTGACAAATGATTTTGCCGACCACTGCCCTAAAGTTAGTGGGCTATAAAAATAGTACCCTCCCACCACATAATTTTTTTAAAATATCCGCATATATATATATATATATATTTATGAGGAGTCCAATTGCAAACTCTGCTAAGTCGATTTTTTGAAAAAAATGAGTTAGTCCCCTTGGCTCATCTAGGAAGTGCTATTTCACAATATTTTACTAGTTTTTAAAATCAAAACCCGCTAAGTTCGGTTATTTCACTATTTAAAAACAGAGTGGCTATAGGTACCCGTGTACGTATAGCAGCAACTGGCTATTCGGATCCGGCTGGTCACTCGAGGGCTTTAGATATTCGGTTGGTCACGTGATAGTTATGACCGATACTTCCTGAACTTCCTGTTTGTTTCCCATCTTAGATAGAGCCATTATTATCAATCCAGAAACTTGCCATGTTTTGAAGACTTTGTTATAGCGTTGAAGAAATACGAAGAGCATTTGACGTACAGCTAAAAGCAAGTAAGAATACGTTTATGTTTATACTTTTATTGTATTTTTTAATTCTATATTAAATATAGTTCTATAATCATTAACATGACATCAATCAAGATTCAAGATCGAAGATGCTTTTTTTAGGCACTTGGATACAAAATTTAAAAAAATTCAAATAATTTTTTTAATAGCACAGTTAGTTAGAGCTAATTTCAAATAAGAAAATGAAACCAGAATCAACTTTTTAGCTTAAGTACTTTTTGAGCTATGAATTTTTAAAGTGTGAGTTCGTTTGGTATTTTTTACTATGGACGAAACCTCCACATCTTGTGACCTCATTCCGCTGATCGCGTCATGCGCAATGACTATATACTTTATATAAGGCAACGCATCGCCTTATCACTAAAATACTGTTTAGGGTCGACTTAGTTTAAACTTTCAACTTTGGCACATGAATAATTAATTAAAGGGAAGCGTTATACACAGTCGGCTGCGTATAACCCTGAGAGTTATACGCAGTCGACTGCGCATAACCCTGAGGGTTATTCACAGCCGACTGTGTATAACTCTCAGGGTTATACGCAGTCGGCTAGGAATTTAGCCAAATAAGGTTTATCAATCGCTAGTTTGGCAATTTTAAAAAAAAGTATTATGCGTGATTAGCTGCATGATGGGTTGTTTTGAACTAGAACTTTGCATGTGTTTAATGTAAAATTTTAATAGAATTAATTTTAATTAATATTGAAATTGATGATAGCAATAATATTAGTATTAGTGCTATTATTAGTATTATTGCTTGTATCTTATATATTATAATTATAAGTATAAGTCAAAGTCTACATTTTCTTAGAGTCTAAGCCTAAGTCTTAGATTTTTTTTAAAGGCATTTCCATGGTCTAAGTCTAGTTATGTATTTTGATTGATTAGGTTTTTATATGTTGCTATGAC